TAAGGTGCATACACATATAAACTAGGGAAATATATTGTTAGATTATTAACAACATATATTACAGCCTTGGCTAGCAAGGTTGGATTTCTTGTTTAAGCTAACAAAAAGGAAAATTAGGCTTCATCCACTTAAAAATTTTAAGGGAATCACCAACCACTCATAGGAAAAATAGATGCCAAAATTAGACGCAATGGATTTGTAATCCTGAAAGTTTTTTTCAAGAACTAAGTAAAAATTAAATAACTACAGCACTTTGTCTTTCACTCTAGAAATAATGTTCATATAGTTCATTTTAATATTCATATGTTTGGAATCATTCCTTTCCCTCCAAAGGAGCCAAAAAATAAGAACAAGAATAATATTTCTAATATTCCCCTTAGAAAGATAATGCCATAATTTAAGAATCTCTTTAATGTTAAAAAAAATAATAAAAAAAAGAATCTCATTAATATTATGGATACCACTATGCTCATTCAATTTAAAGATATCATCAAAAAAAATTCCACACTCTTGCAATAATACGCTCACCAACAAACACATGATGTAAGGTTTCCACATGCCACTAACTTTGGCATTTGGAAGGCAAATAGAAGCCATTAGTCATCAAATTTCTATCAACAGCACAAAATGTTTTATAATCTTCTAAGTTAAGATAGAGTATGAAATAGGAATATTCTTCTACCATATCATATATTAGATATTTAAACAAGGCAATTTGATTCTAACATAGTTCTAAATAAAATCAATCGAAATAGAAAGAAAAATCAATCGAATTAGAAAGAGTGCTCATAATAAAATTGTTGCAAGCTAAATTCAAAGGAATCTAGATGATTTGATCAACCAGAAAGTTAGGCGCCATTTCTTTTAACTTATTCACAACCCACTAATTTCCATAAAAGATAATTAGCCTTAATGGTAGTAGTTGAATGTGAGTTAATGGTATTGTCGATAGTGTATTTCCCCCATCCAATGATCTTTCTAGAAAATATACTTTAATCACCAATACCCCATTGCATAAGACATTCATCATCCCATTTAATAGAGAAAATGCACTTCTAGATCAAATTATCACCTTTATTATAATGACAAATCACAAAGTGGTTGCCAACATAGTATTTCAAGGTCATGTAATCAGTCCAAATGCTTTCCTTGGATACAAACGTTAATCATAATTTATAAGAAAAAAAAGTGTGCCAAATCACCAAAAGTTTTAGAGCCCCACCCCGTTCCTCCCTAATAGCATAACATTTATCCCAAGAGGCCTAGTGAAATTCATTTTGAGAATTAGCAGGCCTGTTGATAAAATAGACACAATGCTCAATGGAGTTTTTAATAATTAAAAAAATTTATGAAACTAAACCGAGCCATAATAGAGTAAAAAAATTCCTAATTAATATTATCATAAGCTTTAGAAATATCCAGTTTAAAACCCAAATTAGCACCAGGTGTTTTGAAATTGATATCATAAATATTTTCTTGAGCTATAAGCACATTATCAAAATTTGATCTCCCTTTAACAAAACCTATTTGATAAAGAGAGATAATCTTAGGCAAAATAATAGCTGTTAAGATAGTTCTATTTGCATGTTTTACATTTTTGCAACTTGTATAGTTTTGATGATTCCAAACATTATTATTCAAATGTGTAGTTATCTCCTAACAATTTTAGAAGATTTGTATTTGCTCTTGTGTGTACTAATATTTCAAGAAAATTGAACTCCAGACTACGAAGACTTCAACTCAAATTCAGCATGAGATACTTTGTGAATTTAAAGCATGTACTTTTCTTTCAAATAAACTTGAAAGGGAGTGATTGTAATTGAGTGAATAAAAATATACACACACACATAAGGAGATCATATAAAATTTATACTGATCGTACGGGACGATATCAGTTCATACGGGACGATCAGACAGTTATCTCCTATTAAGATCACATGGAAGGAATAGGAACTGGCCAGAAAAATTTTTCTAAGTCCTATTCGTCCAGGACGAAATTAAAAATTGTCCGGGATAATTTGTTCTCTGTAAAATTTTCGTCCAGACGAAATTAAATTATCGTACACGATGAGTTGTTCTCTATAAGATTTTTGTCCAGACGAAATTAAATATCGTCCAAGACGATCTGGTCTCTGTAAGATTTTCGTCCAGACGAAATTAAATTATCGTATATGACGATTTTCTCTCTGTAAGATTTTTGTCCAAACGAAATTAAATATCATCCAAGACGATCTGATCTATGTAAAATTTTCGTCCATATGAAATTAAATTATCGTACATGACGATTTGCACTCTGTAAGATTTTTGTCTAGATGAAATTAAATATCGTCCAGGATGATCTGGTCTCTGTAAAAATTT